ATGGAGAAGAATGCAATATATAAAGGGGGGGGGGGGGAGCTAGGAATTTAATCACTGCTTTGTAATAATTGTATTGAAAATGTATACTGTGGGTTAAAACTGGTCCAGTCAACCAGTCAGCAGTGGGTCATTTTAATTTATTCACCATGCATGTTGGATAAGAACATGAATTTACAGGGCAGGATAAAGATGATTCCTTTAGTAAATCAACTCTTACATTTTAGAATGTCATAGATTTTGTTTTCATGGCGTGTGACCAGACAACATTAAATACAGCTGTAGTATATGATAACAGATTAAAGAAAATCTGTTACCTGTTTATCAATTCTCTGTGAGCATCCTCAAGGTAAATATTGTATCATATGCCTTTTTCTGAGCACTTGATAACATCTTGCTAAGATCTCTTTGTATAAGGGGAACTGGTGTCAAGCTCTTTCTAGTAATTATTTTCAAGGACGAAGTGTCAGCCTTTTAAATACAAATCAATGCTTGACAGCTTTGTTCAGAAAGTAAAATGCAGTATGCCTTTCCAATCTCACTCACATGTCCTGACCCTTTATTTATAAATGAAGGATGGAGCAGTGGTGTTCCGAACAGATATTGGTGTGCAAAGAACTGTGTAATGTTATACACCAACCGTGTGATGTTATGAGCTAGTGGTATCCATCATGCACTGATTGTGAGGTTCTGCCCACTGTAAAGCTTTTATTATGTCTCTAAGCATTTGTGTTCAATTATTGCTATAATTGTGTAAGAGAATGTCATTGTATTTATCTTTTTACAAACAAGCAGGTCAGAAATATGCATTATGCGTCACATCAATTAATCTTTCCTGCCTTATGGTGGAATGGGCTGAGTGTAATATTGTAAAGAAAAAAGGAAAAACACTAAAAGGGCTGAATATATTTATATTCTCCCCAGGTATGGAAACAGTAATTAGCCCCCAGATGGGGGCATCATTTTGTGCCCTTATATTAATTCTCCAATGTTTAACCCTATTCAACCAATAAAAGACTCAAGTAATGCAAAATAAATGAGCAGGCAGCCAAAGGGATACAAGTTCTGTATCTAGACAATGAAATTATGTAATAAAGTCAGCGAATGTGTCAATAATTGCCTATTTTTGGACTAATACCATATCAGGACTTGGAGTCATTGTTTTTAAAAGGATCTCACATTCCCACTTAAAACTGTTCAGTTCTGGGAACCTCCTTCTGCCCTCTCACCCTTGAAGTCATAACATATAATGCAGGACCAGCAGTGGACATTTTTCTTGCATTGTACATGATGACATTGCCAAAACGGAAGGTGGCAAGTCTGTAGGAAAGAGTGCCAATGCGGGGGACTGGTCATCACTTGCAGAACTAGACTTAGCAAGCATCATATTCTGCATATATATAGGGGGATACACCAACATTTCATATGTTAGAAACTGACCAGAGTTCAGCTTTAAATGATCTAATATTGTCAAAATATCTATTAGTCAACTCAAAAATGGGCCTGGCACTGAGAAGAGAAAGAGGGTTAAATGTCTGTGCACATTATCACTGTAAATATACAAACTGTAGGAAAGAATAAATGTCATTTACATTTTCCACTTAGTTAAATATTCACCCTGTAAGTAAATATGTAAAAGTGACAGTTCCTTTAAGGCAATGTTGTTTTATTCATATAATCATGTTTATAATTATTGTTTATGTTTTTAAGCAAATACTTCACTAGGTATTTCAAAACAACAATTCATTTTTTAGAGCTGTGATCTCATTGTGTCTTTTTCGTATATTTATTCGGATCTATAAATGACATTGCTCATAGGAAGCCCTCAAGGCTTTTACTGAATTTAAAGCCAAATCCACCAAGATTTAATATAATATAAATGTGTTTATCTGGGAAGATAAGCTAAGAAAAGAACCATGAGCATGTTTTAATAAAATTGTTCTGGTATTCATTTATCATTTTACTTGAAGAAACTAAGGGGTCTATTCACAAAGCTGCCGAGGGCAGCCGAGTGAATGACCGATCAGAAGTGAAGTGAGCCGAACACCGTTCGGCTATTCACTTCAGGCTGGTACGGCTGATTTCAGCCGTATATCGGCTGAAATTGCTAACATTCTAAAACAATATTACTGGTTTACTTAGATTTCCTTTATAAACAGCAAATATGGGTATTGCTTTGTAAGTTTGTAAATTTGTGATTTTTTTGTAAATGCTTTGCTTTTTAGTCAGATAATTTAAATAAAAGCTTTAAGGCTGACCTTTGGTACTAAACTCATATTAGAATATACACTGGATTTGAGCCGTCTTTTAAATCTTTAGTTGATGATAAACTTAATCAAAAGCAAGCAGAGTAATTTAACTGGTTCCCACCACTAAGATGTCCCTTTGGTGCCTATTAAATATAATCCTAGTTATTATAACAAAATAAGTTCTCAATGTCTAAACACGATAATGTTGCATGTGCTTGGACACAGTGCAGCAGGGGACTTGGTACATTA